AATATAAACAAAGTGATTAAATTTGATTTTTTTTGTCTAGCATTTACTTGGCGGGAAATTCTCTCTTTCAAGATATCGCCAAAAATATTCTATACTACTCTATAGTTGAGATACTTAGGTAATTGTTATCAAAACTCTTTATTGATAAAATTTTAATTTGCCAAGTAAGGTTTTATGTAAGAGTTCAAAGTCATACTTACGAGAATTTATCAGAGGAAAATGAATAAGGAATGAAATTAGTTACGATGTTTTAGGAAACTTGGAGCTTCCATTTATGGAGCGTACTGATATTGACCTGGCATCAGGTAGAGACGATAACAAAGAAACCATAAATTATTAAGCAAAATAAAATAAGTACCTTTTTTCAAACCGCGCTTGCATTATTGGGGATGGAAATTATTTTGGTTAGTCGCTTATTTCATATCAATACCAAGCTAATTATCAAAGTTTTAAAGCGTAGTTAAGTAATGAGTTTCATTAAATGCTGTATAATTCACTGTTATACATTGTACTTAAGACTTATTGTTCACTCACTTTAATCTTGTTTAATAGGTAAATATTCAAAAATATATTGCAATCTGCACTTTCTCACGCGTTTATCAACAGCCCAAACTTCATAAACAAAACACGATCACAGAAGAAATTTGGTCAAATCATGTCCCGATTTTTTTCATTCTTCATTTAATACTCAGGTTTCAAGTTATATTACTTACTTATTATAGCTTACTATTTTAATATTTTTTTAACATTCACTTGGGAAATAGGTGATCTAGGTAGGCATGTAGACATGAAAGTACGTCAATTCCTTATTCTTCAGAATTGCAAACTACGTATTTAATCACATGTGAGACAAATAATGAACAATATGCAACGAAGACATCTGAATAGTTCACGGCTAAGTAATAATACCGCAGAAATAATTTTATGTACAAATGTAAATTTAATATTTAATTATCTTGTATTTAAAACGGGTATAGTGCGTAAATGATGCTATCGCGTTTTTATTAAGCCGCTAAATGAAGGGCGGGAAAGAGACGGGGCGAATTGCGGGGGGACGTGCCCCCGAATTGATAAAAAGCAACAGTTGAGACTAGCGAAAATTCAGTTTGTTACGAAGCCCAAGCGTGTTGCTACGTACTAACCGCCGTGTTGAGCAACCGCGTCACATCTAAAATGTGACATAAATTGAATGAGTGCTATAATAATGGTTATTGAATAATATTGTGACGAAACCATTTTGTTTATAACACATGCGTATGAACTACAGCGTCCGATCGGGTGACGTGGAGACGTCTAGACTCGTCTAAGAATACTCTGACGAAATTAAATAAACGAAAACCTTTGTGATTTCGACGTGAATATCCACTTCACGTCAAAATTAAGATTTATTTATCTGTGGCACATGTGAGCGCCGAAATTTCTCGAAGCCTTATTTTACAAGTGTTTATTCGTGGAATTGTAGTGCTTTAACAAATTATGGTTGTTACGAAAGTCGAAAATATGGCTTCATACTCCACTTACACGGGAAAACCGAAAATTTTCTTTCCAAAAAAGGTAAGGAAGTGTATTGAATTTAATTTTTTGGGTAAACGCAATATGACTTCGACAATGCGGTTCAAATAAAAATTATTCACTTACCTAATTAAAAAGAAATGGTCAAAACAAAAAGACGATTATACATTACTTACAAAATGGTGATTTCTTAATATTATATTAATTATTTAGCTAAATATCTTTTGAGGTACACACTGAGAAATGTTATTTTAACGCTCCTATTGACTATTCCAGGAAAACATTACTGCGTAATTCTGTGATTTTAATGGTATACTGCTACTCGTATCCCCATTTCCATCTTTATTAAGCGACTTTTTCTTTTTACTGTATTAGAATCAGCAACAAAGATAGATGACATGATTTTTCTACTACGTTAAAACTGGTTATAGTTCTATACAGCGATAAATAAAGCTGTTTGAGCCAAAAAGGTAATACATTCCAAAAACGGCTGTAATAATGAACTATTACAGCTATTTATGGCGTTTCATCAATTAGAATTTATAAAATTATCAATTAATGTACGTCTGTGGGCTTTAGGATTTATTTTCAATTAATATTCAGTAAAAAGGAATTATTAGAAAAATTTAGACTAAACCGAATACCGATCACATGCATACCAAGATTCGGTTCCGTAATACATATATAAACTACGTAAAAACAGTAGGCAGGCTTCATAATTCATATTATTATAACCTTCTTTATTTTTTTTGGTTTCATTATGATATAGAACAAAATAGGTAATAAAATTACGTATTTTTGTTTAACCCTTGAACACATTTTTATTTTTTTCTTTATTGTAAAATTAGTAGTAACTGCAAATATAAGGAAAATTTTAATATTGACTTGACTGATACAGACAGTCTCGTTTACCTACTTTGAAGAGACTAGATGTCTATAGCTGTATTAATTTTCGTGATATTTCGAATTTTGTTTATCTTAATTGATTTTTAATAAACAATTGTATGCAAACTTTGGATTATATATTAAAGAAAGAAGAAAGAAAGAAAGAAATTTATTGACTACTAAGGCACACAAAAACATATATTAGACTTATTACTAAAACATAATTTAATCTTAACAGTATAACTTAGTATTAACAGGATTCAATAATGTAGTGTGCTTGTAGAATAGGATCTTATAGTTTATATAGGCCCTTTGTTTATCTGAAACTGATTTTCACACTAAAAAAGAAAATAAACAAAATAGAAATAGCCAGAGTATTAAAAATTTTATTATAGACAACGTGTCTTATATCTGTACATAGATATCCAAAGTTAAAGTTTTATCTATAAGTTATATAAGAACTAAGAAGTCAAGATCCAATAACTGGTTGAAATACTGTTAAGGGGAATTCGCATTAAACTTTTTCCCCATCTGTATTCAAATGTCTATTAATTCAATATTTGTTAGTTGGTTAAAAGGTCCATGCAGTAGTGAAATATACTGGTATATTGTTTATAACCTAAAAGATGCAAGGCCAATTTAAATGTAAGATTGGAATATCATAATTTTAAAGGCGAGATCTCTTCACAACGTATTCGGGTCAAAGGGTATATATGTGCATCTGGCCTGGCCGAGAGAATGTAAACCTTGCCAGTGTAACCAGTGATAATTGAATTTCACTCGTTCCACATTGCTTTCATGTAGCGATGTGATAACTGACGCCCTAAAAACGACTATTAATCTTTGGTAATTAGTTTATATAAGAGTTAATGTATTTTTGATTATAATAAGTTAGTATAAGAGATAATCCGTGAATTTATCGGTTTGTTTTAATTGTAAAGAGACTCCAAAGGCAAAAAAGGTCGATAGGATCTATTAGTAGTGAACCCGTGCCCGTTGTCTCCTTCTGTCAGAAAACAACTTCAATATCTAAGCTAGGTATTATCTCATCAGAGTAAGTATACGAAAAGTTATAAATAAGTTCTCCAAACCTTTTTTAAACCACTGAACTGTTCGAAGAATTACCGACCTAATTTCGGAACATCTTTGATGGATAACGGTTGCATAATTGTTTAATACTTACCATTATAATGTTAATCAAGATTGGATAGATACATATACAAATTTAGATTTTTTACTTGATTAGCTTTCTATTTGTAGCAAAGCGCCAGGCCAGGCCATTTGCCTATCCATGCTGCACTAACGTTTATTCAAATTCAAGCAAAAAAGTAACAATAAACTTTTTATGCGCTTATAACGCGCTGCCGAAAAAATAAATTACACAAAAGCCTCGGGGTGCATTCCTTACGGCATTCTTCGCTCCCTTACGTTAACTGCATTCCCATCGACGTGTATTGGAATTTATGTAATGTCACTCTTCAGGAAGTTCCACATTTTTATAAATAATTAAAGATGTCTTGTCTTTTGCAATGAATATTCCTCTATTGTTCGACGTTGCTCACCAGGAGCAAAATCACACACACATTACATTATCTGTAATTATTGATCGTATATTTATATAGCTCTATTTCCAATGTCAAGCTTAGGGCATCACTGAAAATTTTTATGTTTAATTGTATACTGGAATAAATTATTCGATTTTATTTGAAGACGTGTCTAAAATCAAAGTATGATTTTTCTAAACATCTGGTTATACAATACTTAGGAATATCAAAATTCGCTCCGAATCACAACCGTTTTTAGATATACACTGGACCCGTATATGTATAGTCAAACCGACGACCCGTTGATTATTATACAACTCTACCATTGGACCAACGTGTCTACCATAAACCCGTTTAAAATGTACAATAAAAAAGTGTTGAATAATGAACTTTCCTCGGAGGAAACAACAGTGGGCGCCAAAAATAGCGTTTCCGTCCAATAGCAAGTCTAAGTAGGAAGTCCACTAACACTAGTGGCCGACTCTTCCGGCCGCCTACTGACGCGACGCTTATCGAGTTTTATAACGCACTTACGGGCTGCGATGCAATGTGCCCACGCAGCGTCTTAAGCGGAATTAAATTGCTCGCACTGAATTCAAATTATTGGACGTTGACGATTTAAATCACTTAATCTCCAACCCACCGCCGATGATTACGACCTAACCACGTACAATCGCCGCCAGATTCTATTAGCTTCTTTTTCACTTGTGTATCAGAAGTAAGGAGAACTTTCTTCTTCTGCCTAATGTCTATAGCAGGAATGAATTGAAGTAGAACTTTGTAAAGGGTAAAAAAGTATCAGGTTAAGTTAGATAGTTATGACGTATTATCGTGTTATGTCAGGCTATTACGACGTAACTAACGTAACGTAAGGGTAGCCAAAAATAATAAATCTGACATATATAAAAAGGTAAACGAACTATGAGTCAGTCATTCATAAACGGATGATTCACCTCGTACAGGTAAATTATCAGAAGGTACCGTGTCAAATCGCACTTTCCTTAATCTTAAGAAAAATGTAGAGATTACCGATTTCTAATTATCGTTCTTTGTTCTCAGGTACGTTCGGAGGAATCACTGCTAGCCCCAGAGACGACCGCTAAAAATGCACGATGGGTATGAATTATTGGAATGGCTTTGCTTTGGTGATGGGTACAATTGAATGCCTTGAATGCTGGCTGTATGACATCCAAGTACCATTTATCTGTAACTAAACATGAGATATGTAAAGCGTATTGGTCAAAGACTTTCGAGGAAAGATAAGATTGTTGTCTAGGAAATGTTACAATATTTTTCCTTATCGACGATAGTTATCCGTTATCGCTCCATCTATACCCTTTAGTTTGACTTCTTTGCAAAGTTAAAGAACTGTATAAAAAAAGCAAAGGTTTTAAGAGATAAAACAAAAATAACTCAAATATTTTGTCCTTAAAGTGCCGGATGTTCGCGATACTTAAACTAATTACGGTATAGTTTAATATTAAGTTCAGTATCAGTTGAAAACCCTTCGCTGGCAATTGATATTAAGTAACAGACAAACATCCGGAAGCTTATAAAACTTAATTCCCATCTTCCGTTAAATCATTGTTTGTTCATTTGACACATCCTTGTTAATTACTTTATCTTAAATCGTAAACACGATCACGTAACCGACGATAGGACCTGACAGAAATCTAAGAAGAATTTGAAGTGATTTAGGACATATTATATCTATCAGGTTCCACAGAACTTAGAAAAGATATCGAAATTCAAAGAAGCGTTGCGAATAGCTACGAAATATCTACTTGCTTTATTTAAATCTATTTTTATTTAAAATTTCAGTTCTTTTAATTAAAATTTAATTTAAAAAATCTAAACATGTTATTAGTGAAATTCGGTTTCCCCTTGGGGCATGGGGCTAACACACTTCTGTGTCTGTGTCACTGATCGGTTTCATTTACAAGTAAATTATTCATCATACTTCGGTGGAACGTCTTATTTTGGAAAGAAACTATAGGAAAGTGAAAAACTTGAAAAAAAGTATTCATCTTTGAGAGTTGTTTACGTGTGGCTCAAGATACCCAAAAAACATATAAAAGGACTATTATATGATCTAAAAAGACATTTCCGCGATAGTACATGTCTATCTTTTAATATTAATACACAAGAAACGTTCAATCAATTTTGCAAAACACTTCATATACGTCTATAGTTTACGCGAGTAGTAACATTAAATAAAACACTTTAACGGTTTAAAACGCGATAGATAGATAGCGGCCAGTTACGCCAAATACCAACTTCGACGGAACAATGGCTAGGTAGCAATTCTTTACTTTGACGTAGAGACATCCTCCATTTAGTCTCCCGTGACCACGGTGCTGCAAACATCGAAACGTCGGGCCGAAGTTAAAAATCATTTTCAAATAATTTAACTAATATATGTTTTAAACCGTTAAAGTGTTTTATTTAAACACTCCATATGTTAAAAGAAAGTTTGGCAGGTCAGTTAGTAAATAAAATGTCTTATTCAGTATGCCGTTATAATCTTATTGCATGTAGAATTTATTTATCTTTGAAACAAGCATGTATTTATGTTTTAACTTCTAAGGGGAAAAATATTAAAAACAATAGAAGCCTATATTACAATTATGACTAAGACCTCGACTACGATGAATGGCTATTAAAAATAAAATTAATTGCAACGAAATGCGTGAAAGTGCCACAAAGGTGGAACAGGATGCGTGGGCTGAGTCATGTAGCCTGCGCCGGCGCACGCGCTTCGCGCAGGTAAACTCTATGCCGCAATGCCTTACCGTTTCAACGATAAGCACGTGAATGACTGACTCATGCGTTTGAAATTCATATAAAACATTTACTTTTTTTCTAGAAAACGTCGATGGCTGTGATAATTACTTTTTTATTAAAAATAGTGATGATGGCCGCTCTTAAATATCTATGTTTATATTATAAAGCTGAAGAGTTTGTTTGAACGCGCTTATATCGGCAGCTATTGGTTCGAATTAAAAAAAAAACCTTTTTATGTTGGTTAGAGCATTTATCGAGGAAGGCTTTTTGCTATAAAATGTCATGCTGACCTTACGCTAAAGAGCAAGGGGGATGTGAAAATTCTAAACAAATGTCCGGGACAGGAGGTATATGACTATCTATTAAGGTTTCTAAAAACAAAATTTGATGCCAAAACTAACTATTCTACGCGGACGAAGTCGCCGGTACAGCTATTTTGACATTTCCGACTAAATTCGTGCGCAAGAGCAATGTGAAGGTGATAATATCAATTGTACTGCTATATTGGTGATTGTAATACTAAAAAATAAACTGTTTCAATGAGTATGTTAACAAGCTGTATGACAAACATGCTCCTATTAGGCCTGTTAAAATTAAACACTCCCCCTCTCCCTGGTTAACTGAGGAATTAAAAAGCCTTATCCATATTAAAAATTGTGCTAAGGCTAAGTTTAAGCTTAACAACAATGACGCCAATCAGGCGAGGTATAGGTCCCTCCGAAATGAATGCAACAGAAGGTGTAGGGACTCTCAGAGGAGATATTTTTATAAATCCGTTGAGAGTGGAAACACGCCCAAGACTTGGAAGTTTCTCAATTCCTTGGGTATCGGCAATCGGTCTCGCTCTGTTTCAGTGTCTCCCAGTTTTGATCTTGAGTTACTTAATCAGCACTTTACTTCTTCTCCTACTTTTGATCCCTCTAAAAAATCTGAAACTCTAAATTTTCTCAATTCGCTCTCTAATCCTGGCTATCCTCAGTTTTGCTTCTCGAATTTCACGGATGAAGACGTTAAGAGAATTGTCATGTCGGTTACTTCTAATGCCTTGGGCTGTGATAGCATTGGTCGTGCTATGATTCTTCCTATTCTTGACGTATTATACCCTATCTTAACACATATCCTAAACCATTCCATACGTACAGGAGAGTTTCCTTTCATCTGGAAAAAATCCTACATTATTCCTCTCCCAAAAGTTAATAGTCCTACTAACTCAAACGATTTTCGTCCTATTTCAATTCTACCCTTCCTTTCTAAAATCTTGGAAAAATTAATATATCAACAGCTTTGTCTCTTCCTTAACAAGAACTCTCTTTTCAATTCTCATCAATCGGGCTTTCGAGCTGGTCATAGCACGACTACTGCATTGCTCAAGGTAACTGACGATATCCGAATGGCTATAGATGATAGACAAGTCACAATTTTGACTCTGGTTGATTTCTCTAACGCTTTTAATACGGTTGACTTTGATGTCTTACTAGCGCAATTACGCTCTCTTAACGTCTCGTCTACAGTTCTTACTTGGTTTAATAACTATCTAAGGGGCCGCCAGCAGTGCATTCGGGTGGGTGATACTACCTCATCGTGGAGCACTGTTACTTCCGGTGTACCTCAGGGTGGTATATTATCTCCTCTTCTCTTTTCTATCTTTATAAATTCAATCTCTTCTCTATTCTCCTGTCGTCATCACTTATATGCCGACGATCTCCAAATCTACACTCACTGTTCTTTGGAAAATATCTTAGATGGGATCAAATTAATTAACACCGATACTCAGGTAATTGTAGATTGGGCAAATTCACATGGCCTTTTAATAAATCCGATCAAAACGCAGGCAATTATTATTGGAAGTCCCCAACAATTATCGAAAGTAGATTGGAACAATCTACCTCTTATAAGCATACATGGTGCCAAGATTCCTTATAGTAAGTCGGTTAAGAATCTCGGGATCTATATTGACGCCACTCTGTCATGGAACGATCAGATAAATAAAGTTAGTAGAAAAGTATACGGCGTTGCAAATATGCTGCGCCGTCTACAAAACTTTTTGCCAATTCCCACTAAAATATTACTTGCGGAGTCATTGTTGTTATCCTTACTCGACTATGCCGATGTTTGTTATTTAGATCTAACTGAGGAACAAGTAAATAAGTTGGAGAGGCTTCAAAATTTTTCAATTAGATTTATTTATGGTTTACGGAAATACGACCATGTGTCTGAATTCCGTGGTAAACTTAAATGGTTGCCTATTAGACTACGACGAAACACACACATCCTCTGTCTTCTTTTCTCTATTCTCTTCGACCCACGCACTCCTACCTATCTTAAACAAAGGTTTATATTTATGGGTTCTTCCCATGAACTTGACCTTCGTTCCTCATACAACCGTCTCCTTTCTATGCCTGCCCATTCATCTAAACGCTATGACTCTTCTTTTTCTGTACAGGCTGTCCGCCTATGGAATAAGCTGCCACCCGCGATAAGGCTCTCACAAACGCTTAACTCCTTCAAGACCAAGGTCAAACAACATTTTCTTGAAAGTATTGTTCAGTCTTGATGTTATACTTTTATTATTTATAAAGTTGCATCTTTGTAAGATAAAAATTTAATCTTAAGTTTTTATTGTTTAGTGTAGCATTTTTCGTTGTGTAGGTATTTGATATCATTGTATTTTAAAATTTATTGCATTTTCCTCTCTCATTCTCGTTGACTTTTACTCATTTACTGTTATTTTGTTTTCCTTTTCATTATACAAAGGTTGCCTGGAAGAAATCGCCATAGGCGATAAGGCCGCCTTTGCACTAACTCTTTTATGTAAATATTTATTTTAGTTTTACTATATTTGTATTGTATTTGTTTGTGCAATAAAGTGTTTTATTATTATTATTATTACTAATGGACTTAAGGACTTATCACTGATAACGATAATTGGTGAAGTTTCCGCTACGGAAACAATCCAATTTATCACTGAATTTAGATATTCCGTTATCGATTTTCTTAATGACATAATAGATGTTTTTACTGTTGTTTGTCTACGGACTAATTAAATTGTGAATGAAACAACTCACAGCGGTTAGTCATTTGTGAAATGAGTAAAAACTTTATGCGCAGACTGCACGGTGTGACTCACTCCAGTGTAACTTAAATGCAGTTATATTTTCCTCCAGCCTAAAACGTAAACAATGATTAACGCATTATACAGTTCACAAGAAATCATCGTGTGATTCAAGTAAACACAGTTTTACTATCTTATTCTAAGTAAAGTTGACATATAAAGCTATATATGGAACACTAGCTGTGTCAGCGACTTCGTTCGCGTAGGATTATTTTGCGCA